AATTCTCTTTGCCCAATAAGGATTTTGAGTTTAATTATATTATACTTGTTAATATACTTTATATCAATAATAATCCGATTCTGTATATTATTGATAAAGCTATACATTTTCAAATCGCTCGATAACTAAATAATGTATCTGTAAAGTATATATAGAATAAACTCCATAAGTACTGAATCGATATATATATTGATCTACTAAAGTATATCACTCATAATGCTGGTATCAATTTTGTTGGAAGAGAGTTTCAATAATATATTATGTCAATATCCATTTAGATAAAGATAATCCCTATAAAGGCATATCATTCAATTGATATTGTTAAAAGATTTTATATATTATTATAAAGATCTTACAAAATTATTTATAAAAAGATTTATTATCACGCTAAAAGTGATATCACCGATAGCATTAAGCTAATTGGGTTTATATAGGCTAATTCTCTCGTGACACACCCCCGAGATTGCTGACTAGCTGGGTATAGGCAGTAATCTCTGTACTAGCCTCATTGAGTCATAAATGCGCAAATCTCTTCCTATCTCCATGTGATGCCAAATCTAGGTTCTCTTTTGATTGGATACAACTAGTATTAGGTTCTCTCTGGATACATCTAATAGGCTGAGCGGAGATAGTGGGGCAACAGAGCAGGGTCCTCACATTAGCTCCAATAGGCCAAGATCAGATGACTAATATGGGTCTGTTGAAATACCCTCTTATAAGTGGGCCCACAGAAAACCACTACAAGAGAGCACGGTAAAGTGAAGAATTATGCCACTGCGCTATAAACGCATACCGGGCTCATAACTATCACGCTAAAAGTGATATCACCGATAGCATTAAGCTAATTGGGTTTATATAGGCTAATTCTCTCGTGACATTTATAAACTTAATATTCGCAAAACAGCTATACTTCAGATAATTGTAAAGACAATTAATGATATTACTAGACCTAATGGTTTAATATTTATTTTATTTGTTTTTAATATTTTTCTCTATATAATCAATATTAGCCCTCTAATATCTATTATTCAATAATATACTATTGTGATTTCTAAAGCTATAATAAAGATTCACAGATTATATAATTCTATACAAGTACGAGAGGTTTTAAATATATATAATGAACCCTTTACAACTGTATTTTATGACTTGCTATTAAATAGTAAGATTTTAGTTTGAAAAAAGAATAATAAAATAATTATTAATAAATGAAAAGGATCTTTTTTATTTATTAATATAGAAAAGGAGATATATATTCTTAATCTATTTTATAAATCTATGAGATTTAGATTTATATCGGTAAAGCTATATTATAAGTGTTTAGAAGCTGGATGTATTGAGGAGATTGAAGAAATTAATTATGATATTAATTCTGAAATAATTTTATCAAATTCCGGCAAAGTTATATTGCCTTCTTTAGGAATAGCAATCACGTATATAACGAATTTAGAGGAACTTCTTTTAGATTTATTCAAGAATAATCAGATACTTATATTAATATCTTTTTTGCGAATGGTTATATCTCAGATTCGAGCTTATATATAAGATTATTACCCCGAATGTTTTGCTACTGATTTTAAGGATTCTATTATGTATAAGAAATCTAGAAAGAAAGAGATTGATGGATTGATAGTTAAGAGTATATTCGAGATTATATCACTTTTGGATGTTCTTTTTGGTATATATATTTTTAAATCGCGATTTGTTGATGAGATTAAGAATAAAGGAACGAATACTGAATTCTGTAAGTCGAGATTAGTTATTCAAGCATATAATAATGCTGATAAAATGTTTGTATTAACATAATTCCCAACAATTTAATAATCGTATTAATGCATTTTAGTTTCACTAACTACGAATACTCGAAAAACAGGTATAGGAGTATATATTCGAGATATCATTCAGGTGTATATTCAATCCACTTTAAACTTGTATTATACTTTTTATACTTATACTTTAAAAGAAATAAATCTATCAATTGATATGATTTTACTTATTGTTAAGTTATTATATAATATTCCTAAGGCAGGAAATTATTGGTTTCGGATATACTATATTCATTATTACAAGAAGCTTAAAATATAGCAATTTATATATAACCCTTATCTTTTGTATATTAATAATAAGGGGATTGGATTTGGTATTGTAAAGCTTCAGATAGATGATACACTCATCATTAGGGATAATGTGTTTATATAAACTGAGGATGAGCAACTCAAGCAAGCTGGCTTTATGGCTAAGGATTATAAGGAACTTATTTATAATCATTTATTAAAGTTTAATAGTATCATTTTTATATTCAAGATAATAATATTTATTTTAATCAGAAAAGGCAATACAACAATCTACAGCTTGTATTTACAAAATCTATGGATATATATAGTACATGTAGTAAGGTTTGAAAATATACTTTTATATGTGAATAATATATTGTATAACAAGCCTGTAGAGTATATATTACAATTATATATCAATCCGAGGTATTTTTCAATCTATTTATGGCAATATAGATAATCTAATCTGGCAAGGATAATATTGTAATGTTAAATAAGTATATCAAGTAGTAAAAAGAAAACTCTATTAAAGGATTCAAATATATATTATTTGATTTAGATTCACTTAAGATTATTATCTTTACTAATATCTCTTTTATAAATAATAAGGACTATTTATTCCAAATAAATTATATAATTATTATAATAAATAAATATAATAATGCTAATATTATTTATTAATTATTTATTAAATATAAAAGAGTTATATACAATATTTTGATATCCGAGCTATATAGATTAGTTCAGGGATTCGATATCGGTACAACAATCACTTCTATAGTTAGTGTTATTTTCGGCAAGGAGATTCTATTAGTTTTGTATACTAATTCCAAGTCATTATATAACCTATTTACAAAACTAGGAATAATTAGTAAAAAGAGATTAATAATTAATATTATAATATTATATTAATCCTATAAGTAAAGGGAGATTATTAAAATAATCTAGATTGATGGTTTAATTAATCCGGTTAATGTAATAATGAAAGAAAAGTTATATCAAGTTCTTGCTGATCTGATCAATACAAATAAAATCGATATCAAGACAATAAAGTAAATGGAATGGGATTAAAGAAAAGAATTTATTTATTTATTTATTTATTTATTTATTTATTTATTATTTTACATCCGGGGGGCAAGCCACAGGGGCTCGCTACGACCTCCCAGGGGGTACTAGGGATGGACTAAACTAACAATTCTATATATATACAATTGCTGGTATAGCTAAGCGTTCCATTCTTCTATAGCTGTGATACTAGTGGCAAGCAGGGCGGCTGCGTTACAAGTACTCTTGCTACTTTATTTCAATTTACAAGTTCGGGTTATCCAATTCACTTTATATTGAGGAGTCCAGGAATTGTTTGGGGTTTTTGTGAAAAAGTAGGGGATATCAATTGGTAAGGGCTGGGGTGATTATAGGTTGATAAGGTTGGAATGATTGGATTGTTGAAGACTAAGGCGATTGTAAATTGTTATAAGTAGATAATTATTATTGTCAAAAGAGGGAAGTATATTGTGACTACTCGGATATAAGTAGAATTATTTTTCTAATAAGGAAGTAGAGTAGTAATAGAGTGAAGGCTTTTTTATATTAGGATTAAAGGATTAGGAAAGGGGTATAATGTTTTTCTTTGATTGTATACAAATAATGAACTATAGATTTGTAGATGATTAGGTTTCGAAAAGACAGATATCGATTAGGATATAGCTCTGAGCAGAAATGAGCACCAATCACTTTACCACTGAGCCAGCCACTCCTTACGGAGAACAATGGTCTTTTTGTTTAAAGAAAAGAATTGATTCTACTGATAAAAGGTTAGGGACTTTAGTTAGCAAATGGAGGATTTTTATGATTTTATGAATTTCTTTTCAGTTATTGTATTTGAAGTTATAAAAGAGAGTTTCGAGTATGTGAATAAGGAAATTCATTTCAAAAGAATAATTTTAATATAATGGCTATTGTATTAAAGATATTTAGACAAATGCGAAGGAGATTAGCTCTTTTAGTAGTACTTATATAAAGTCTACTACTTCCCCTCATTAGCTAGCTCTTTAGACAGAATACAATACAGACATTTAGGGGCCTACTAATGATAGTGGGAACCACGTCTCCTGTATTCCTGATCTCATTATTGAATTAACATATCTATTACATTCATTATCTTTATCCGCTCAAAATCTCACAATCTCAGAATTATCCAAAACTTTACCATCTCCTTCTAGACTTCCCATGGCAATTCCCATATCATATATTGATAAGCTCATTAATGATTCACCTCTACACTCCCAACTCGCAATTCCGTGCACGAGATATCGAGATATCAAAATGTAGCCCAGGTACAGACAGAACGCGGAGACACAAAAGATTGTGCATAAAGGATAACAGGCCATTATTGAAGTAACTTAAATGAGGATCTCAGTCCATCATACATACATATACATACATAATCCCTCCTCAACACAGTCTCTCCAGAAACCACCAAGTCTTCGACCAATAATACATAACCCATAACCCATAGCCCATAACACCAAACACCGCCCATCCATCCTGTTCATCCATCCATCCATCCCTCCATCCATCTACCCAGTCAAACAAACAACAAAACAAATATCTCACACCCCACACCATACTCAAAACCCCAGTCCAATCCAGTCCAGTCCAGTACACCTCCACCTTCAACACCTAAATATACCTATCGCGAGTAAAGTCTACCATCTGATCATATATATCGTACCAACTTGATCATTCACATTTGCCCGCCGCAGATATATCCACCTCCACACTCCAATGCCAGGTTTGCGTAAGCTCTTATGGAGTGGAGAAACTGTAGTGTAGACACTCATCTCACGTTCACGGGTTTAATCATAACAATACCATTAACTTTACAAAAGGCAGGTGGGAAGTAGTGTAGATACAAATACAACTTCTTCACACACTTGCATGCGGTGAGTCTGACATAGCCACTTGAATGGAATCACCTTACACCCCATACACCTCACAACCACAAAATCAATGGAAAGCTCAAAGCGATAGAATATAAAGAGTGTAATAACGCTTTTGTTCTATTCTAAACGTATTGCCGTGGTCTAGTCTAGTCGAATTTAATCTAAACCATCTATCCAGTCTAGTCCATATCGCTCTATGTACACCAGAAGATGCAACCGAACAGCTAATCTATCTCTAAAAAGAAGGATATCTCGCCCCGGGATTCCAAGATTTAATTTGAACCTATATATCTTGAGTCTGTTATCGTGTTGTGACCCAAGTATCTTCTTAACTCGCAAGCGAAAACTCCCCAACTCCATCCACCAATGCACGTGGTCAATTATATCCACAACTCTTCATGTCAAACATCTCATCCCCTATTCCCTATTCACTCCCCCATAACTTCAGCCAAAAGAGGTAATCCAGCCTTTGCTCTCTCTTGAACACTTTGACTCAATCTTCTTCCTGCATTCATGTTTCTGCTGGTGCTCATTGCTGTAGCCATAGAGCCAACTGGTACGACCTTTGAGACTGTTGGCTTCTCTGACTTAGCAATAGAAGCTTGACCATTGGTGAGATCCTTAGCGTGGACTTCTCCCTCTCTGTTGTACAAGTTTCTGTACATGAAGACACCACTTCCTTCCATACCCTCGGATTCTTCGACGAATTTGCATGTACGTTGGTTTCTCCAGAAGGCGGTCCAGAAAGGAGTCTTGACATCGGCTTTGTAATGTTGACCCATAACTTTCTTGATGTGTTGGCTTGCTTCTCCGGCGTGGTAGAATGGGATGGTGGAGACCAAGTGATGGCAAACGTGGGTACCGATGATGTCGTGGAAAAGATGGGTATCAATGAAACCGAGATCACGATCGATAGTAGCGGTTGCACCACGGGCGAAATTCCAGGTATTGTTGTTGTAATGGGGCATGGATGCGTCGGTGTGTTGAAGGAAGGTAATACCAACTATGAACATATGTTAGTTTCAGGTAATTGAGAATCGTGAGATAAAACGTACCAATCCAGTTGTTAACCCACAACCATGGAACACCCCAAAGAACAATGACATTGAAGCTCCCGAAGACTTGACCAGCCCAGATCAAAGCGGCAATCATAACAGCAACACCAACGTCACTCAAGGCGATCAAAGGCAACTCGTGCTTCTTGTAAAAGACACTGTCTTCTCCGAAATAGAAGTGAGAGATTCTCATTCCCTTGGCACCATCGTAATCTTGTCCAGTCAAGTTGGCAATCAAATAACCTGGCCATCCAAAAAATTGATGAATGAATGCATTGTAAAGCGAGAGAATTGGGGAATCTTCTGCCAATTCAGCAAACTCGATCATATTGGCCTTGGCCTTCTCTCCAAAGTTTCTCTGAATCCAACTCTCTCTGGTGTGTGGAACGAAGGCAGTATCCTTATCCATGTTTCCGGTAGCTTTGTGATGTTGAGAGTGGGAAAGTCTCCAGGAGTGGAATGGCACAAGTAAGAAAGAATGCATGATCAGTCCCATAGTCCAGTTCAATCTCTTGTTCTTGCTGAAAGCACCGTGTCCACATTCATGTGCCAAAATCCAAATACCGGTGAAAACGAGTCCTTGAACAGTGGTGTATGCGACCCAAGCGGCGAATCTAAGGTATGGATTTGGAAGCATTGGGATGAAGGTAAGGGCGAGGTAGATGAGGGTAGAGACGTAGAAGTAATCGCGGACAACGTATGCCATTGATCGAATGATGGAGGGTTTGAAGCAATGAGCTGGGATAGCATCGTAAATTTCTTTCATGGTATAATTTGGGAGTTCAAAGACATTTCCATGCATGTCAAGATGCTGAGGTTGCTTTTCCTCAACGAGGGTGTTGCCCACAGAGGAGCGAGTTGAGGGTGCCATGTTTGCGAGTTTGCTCTTCACTCAATTCGATTGTTTGAGGAGATGTGTGTAATCGTTTTTATAAAATAAAATGACTAGTGAAAGGGGATGATTGAGAAATCTTGGTTTGTTCTGCCAAGGTAATTCTTCCTTTTACTCTCTGTGCGTGTTGTCAAGAGATGGATAGAACAAGGGTATCAGAAAGTCACCTTTCGAGACAGTAGTAAGAATATTCCAGATTCCTAAAACTTCTTCTCAATTGAGACAAAGAGAGAAAGAGGGATTTGGGGAAAGATTTCAAAAAGAGGGAAAAGATGAAAGAAGAATGGGAAGGAGGTGCAGAGGGAGGAAGGTGGGAAGTTTATATATATGATGTTAAGAGATATAAAATTTCTTAGCTTTGGCTAGCTACTCTTAGCTTCGAGTCTTGGTGGAAATGATTGAGGCAATTCTGATATGAATATACCTGGTACCTACCATATTAGTAGTAAACGTAGTAAACGTAGCAAAAATAATAAAAATAATAAAAATAGTAAAATAGTAAAATCATTCACCTACCATATACCGAGTACACACACCCATACACACATACACACATACACGCACACACGCACACATACCGTACACACACAGATCACACAAACACCCACCGAGCCACCACCACCACATGTAAATTTTGAAGAGAAAATGCCAAATGCCAATTGAACCCTTAAACACTTAGCGTGAACCAAATCTTCCATCTTCCTTGATATTTCTCCATATTATTTTTACTTTTCCCGCTCAAAACCTTCGTCTCCACTTTAAGGATTCGGTAAGAGCAGTGATAGTGGAGATCTTTACTCCTCAACAGTTTTTGAGAATCCATGCTAACTTCATTGGGCGTAGTTTTTGATCAGGTCCAAATACAAATTTATATTCATCAATTTATCTCGATTTACCGTAATTCTTCGTGCAATTGAATCGTTTTCATTGGATCCGATAAGAGACGTTGTCAGCATTTATCCGCCTGAGACGTGGTGGGATGATAGGAATGAGATTGTAGCAAGAATAGCCATCAGATCAGATCACAATACAGTAAACACTTACTTGGGCAGGAAGGAGCACCGGTGGAGGAAAGAGCAAGGCAGCTGGGCAAGTACATGCTCAGGCAGATACATACCTGTCTAGGAACTCTTTCCATGATTGAAACATCTCCAACGTCTGTCTTTACCATCAATCGTCAATCGTCAATCATCATTGTCAGTATCATGCCATCCTGATACATCTCCACTGATTGTCCATCCACAAATTCCTTTTCTTACCCACAACTAACTAACTGTACAACGGTACAAGTTACGACCCCTAATCAATAAGGGAAGCGATACTTGTGCTGGCATTGGCGTTGGTATTGGTATTGGCATATCTAGCATCTTTTCAGCTCCCGCGTTAATTCTCTTCATTGACCAGAGAGGTGCGGCTTGTTGCTGATTGTTGCTGACTGTTGTAGGTGATTATCTTATCGTAAAGATTAGTCGTACGAGATGTCATCTTCATCTTACCTTCTTCTTTTCTTGATTCTGTGCAACATCCTTTCACATGTCAAATAGATGGTCTTGGTATTACCTTCACCCTTTCACCGTTGTCGGTTACAGCAAGCCCTCAATATCTTCTTCCACATACTTCAACGACCACCATTCATGGTTCATCCATCCATCCATTCAATCAATCAAATAGATTACATGTAATTATCCAATCAAATGCTTTCCATCAAAAACTTCCTCTGAATCAAATTCAATCAACACATCCATCCATCACTCTACCCTGGTGGATCTAATGCAGGGTCCTTCTCCATCTATCAATCTTCGGCATATTTTCTCAATTCGGCTAGTGAAGAAAGGAACACTTCACAAAGATCTCGACCACCCCTTGACTCGCTGATCCCAGCCCACGAGCTTTTGATTGGCTCGTCTATCAGAGAGAAATCCATGAGCTTGGCTATAATGTGCTTTACGCGGTAGTGATGTGTTTTAAATGGAGTTTAGCAGCCAGATCATCAGGGGCTTCGACTTCCGACTTCTAGAAGAAGCAGAGGATGAACATGGTGGGATACAAATGTTGTGTCTCCCAAGATTTGTGGCTATGTTTTCTTGCGTTTTCCCCCCCCTATACTGAAACAGTGAACGGTTATGCGCATGCAAAAGGCAATGCGTGGTGTATTGTTATACGGAGTACAGCAGACTTGAGGCTCGAACTAATAAGTGCCCACTGCCCAGACAGGTATTATGTACTCACAAAGTATAATGTCGAACTTTTTCATCCCCCACGTTTGAAATTTTTATTGCTCAGATTCGTACCTCGTTTTTCTGGTTGTCTTCGGGATGCCAATACTAATTGAGAAAATGTTGGGGAAGTTTTAATGCGGTTCGAAGTTTTTAGGATTCTTCCCAGGGTGTGTTTTTAATTTATGGAAATCATATAAAAATCATATAAAAATCATCTAATTTATAACTTCTCAAGGGGATTTACTCATTTATTACTCCGTATTCCAAGTTCCAACCAAGGCCCTCTTATCTGTTTGGAGTCGAAGATCGCCAAAAGAAATCCCCAGTCAAATAAAGGAATGTTTATCACAACATCCATATTACCACCCGTCAATTCTGTTTCAAATACGCACGTTCTCGGATCCACTCATCATCCACTACGACTACGAGTACGACGATGAAAAGGAGGAGGCGAATAATTAATTATTGAACTTTTGCTTTTTGACATTGCATGGCCTCGATTGGCTCGATTAGAAGAGGAAGTTTCGACTTCAGGAATCAGGATTCAGCACTCAGGAGAATACCCACTACAATTTGCACGGGCTACACGATTAAACTACCTAAGCAAATCAAATCAAAGCAAATCAAAGCAAATCAAATCAAATCAAATCAAATCTACTCGACAAAAATATATTGCATATGCGAAGTACGCGATGGTGCTCATAGATGCGGTGAGAGCTCGAGTGCGTTGCCATCGCGGGGTAGGTTGTAGGTTGACTCGGTTGCGAGAATAAATTTGGAAGAAACACTGTGAATGCAAATAACGGGGTAATCTTCGGTGTAAATGGAAAAGGGTGAAGACTTCCTTTTTCTTTCCAGAGTAGCTGTGCAGTACTCTTATATTACGGAATGGATGATTGCTGAGTATATATCTTGATAATCAAATACCTTGAGACTCGTGATAAAGATCTTGCTCTTTATGTGAATAGTGAGTTTTGAATCTCATCTCATGTTGAGTAGACCTGGCTAGTGAATTCGAAGTAAGTGTTTTTGATACATGTGCTCTCTTTTTCCAACCATCTTCTGCGTACAGAAAACATGGTGTGAAAAAATCATCGGGAAGTATTTTGAACTCTTTGAAGTGTATTCGATTAGTACATATCATAACCTTTACTGAATTATCAAAATCTTCGTACGAAGAATACTCTGGTTTCTACGTAAACCGATCTTTCAATTCTTTCAAGTGGGGAAGAGGGGATGGGTCGGCGCTATGGGATCTTATTGTATGCTTTGATTTGACTCTATGGGTTGGAACTTGGAATGAGGAAGGAGGAATGAGGAATGAGGATTTTTTTTTTCTATCAGTGTAGATGTATTCCTCATGTTTATATTATACGTTCACTTGGTTGAGAGGGGAAAGGGGATGGATGGATACCTTTCGTAGGAGCGGGGGATAGCAATCATGATTCATGATGTGACGAGGTGAAATGAGTGGTAAGCACCGGAACGATAGACTACCTGAGTGCTTTGTTGATGAGTTGATTTGTAGTGGAAATTGCATGAGGTATTTAGAGGATGGGATTGGATATCTTGTTGCTGGTAGTGAGGATCGGGGTTGAGGTCGTTAGGGTTTTGATGATAAGGGTGGTTGGTGGTTTAGTGGACTGAGAGGGATGGGAAATTGGGGAAGAGGGGGGGGGGGGGGATAGAGAGTAAGTTATTGAAATCAGATGATGGATATTGAGCGTGGAATTTCAACAGAAAAATGTGAATAGTTCACACAGTTTAGGGAGGGGAAAGAGGGGGGAAATTGAGAGAGAAATGAGATGCACAATAATAGATGACGTTGAGAAAAGATCAAGATTCATGTTATATTTACGAATCGGATTGACGTTGTGGGATTTGATGATGGTTGCTATGTATCTGACGATGTTGTGGATAATCCTAATGATTCTGCACCTCTATCGAATTGTTAGTTCTTGGGGGAAATTTGCTCGTGGTTCGGAGATATAGGGAAAACATCATTCTACCCTCGTACAATCAACTCGCTTGCTCAAATTCACAATGAAAGATACATAAAAAATGGTCGTGGGAGATTATCCATCATGAACACGTCTACAAGTATCAAAAGGGAATATGAAAATTCAATTCAATTCGCACATATTGCTTTTTCTATGACAGTCGAAGGCTATTCCATTGATGTTATCGATGACGGTACAGAGCTCTCTTTCTGTGAATGCGCTGATTCATGGTGGGCTTGGGGGATGATTAAATGTACGCGTTGTTTGGTGGTTGGATTTTCTGTACAGTCGGGTACATGTGATCAGTGGAAGTTTTGGGGCCTGTAAGAAAGCTATTGTGGCTTTGGGGATTGTGTATCGTGGGTGATGTACTTTCTATACTAAGTCGTTGGGTTAAGTTGTAGTGACATGCAGTACAGAGTCTCGTTGGTGTATGGATAGTTTGGAGCGGGGTCTGGAGTGAGGGGGGAATATCCCGTCACCTTTCTCTGTAGATAAAGTAAGCCAACGGAAGAGAGTAAGAAGTGAGCGGGAAATATAGAAGAGAGTTCTGACAAGACAAACTCTGAAACAGTGTACGCAACACACGCCGAAAAGTCAAGCCATTGAGGTATCCCCAATAATATAGCATAAGGGCTATCTAGTCTGAGTTCTTTTCTGTGAAATTGACTTGACACTGTAAGTGGCATATTTAGACCCATATTCTAAAGGCTGTGACAAGTCATGGCACAATATTAATTATCTTTCTTGAATCATCACAATCTATTGCGCGCTCTATCATACAATCCATCATGAAGCCATGCTTTTCTCAGCATTGAAAAGCAACGTCTTCCTTTACAACTTTATTGCCCCCCGCACTAGCAAATCCTGTTCCCTCACTTTTGATTTCTACCAATCCCGGCTTAATCTTCTCCTTATCTCCCTTTTTCCCCTTCTCCTTAACATCATTTCGCTCTGTCAAGTCTGCCTCGCAGACATAACAAGCAACAGCGTTCTGATCTGTTCCCGCTTCTGCGTGCGGATCGTGAACTCCGCTTGGAGTCATGAATTTGGTAACGCATGATTTGCAGAGCACATGACCGCAGGGCTTCGCAAGTACGGCTTTGGAAGTGTTGGTCAATTGCTTTTTGCACGAAGGACAGATTCTTTGCGGCTTTTTCGTGACGCTATCGGTTTCTTCTGTGAATGCAACGGTGATTAAGGTATGGAGTGAGTAATTGTGTGGTTTGTCTTGTTGTGAGGCGGGGCAAACAGGTGATTGTTTGGCTTTCTTGACGATATTGTGAAGAGTGGTATTGGTGTTCGAACTTGGTGTGACAGATGGAACCCAGAAACTAGGTAAAGTTGTTTTAGAAGCCTGTCGTAGTGTCAGTAAATTGTCATGATTATCAGATTGAGCATCATACTTTTTCGTCATCAATAGCTCTCCTCGCCTTTGATCTCTCATCCTGTGCAATTCTCAAAAGTTCATCCTCATCTAACTCAAATTTTCTCTTCTCTCCCCTCTTTCCACCTTCACCATTTACCTCCTGCTCTACCATAATCTTTCCGCCTTCTCTCCCTACAATCCTGCCGCCTTTTCCTCCCGTCTTTCCCTCTAGTCCCATTTGTACTTCTCAAATTCCGCTACAGCCCTCTCTCTTGCCTCATCTTCTTCCCTCATACGATCTTCATTCTTGTCCTGATCGTCTTTTTCCTTATTTTTCTCCAGCCTCTTGATTTCCTTCTTCTGCGCCAAGATATTGCTTAACGCGCACTCGCGACAAAATATATCACCATGACTACACGAGACAGGAGTACGCGCAGGTAAAAGACATAGGCGACATGAAGCAAACGGTAAAAATGAGTCTCGAGATAGACGAGCACTACTGCTTGTCCAGGCTGATTTCGCCAACTCACGCTCGTGGGAGGTGAAGACCGCACGGGAAGTATTACGTTTGCTGTGAGACATAACTGCGTTTTTGAATTTCGGCTATGTCTGAGGGAAAAGAGCGATTCAATTTATTGATACTTAGAGTTTTACTTGAGGGATGACCTGTAAAATTATGTGGTCGGAACATTGGTGAAGAGATAGAAAGTTCGAAGATGATCACCTGACAGAGCAACTGCGCGGTGAAACTTTAGTCCGTTATCCACGCTAAGCTCGTTACGGCTTGCACCAGCCAGATAGGTAACGTGCAACGACAACTTACAACAAGCTGATGAGGATTCCATCCCTAATCTTTCTTCAACATCTCATCAGCTATATTGCCTCTCGATGGTGATTTGTTCAGATTAATCATTTGCTTGAGATTTTTGTACGACGACTCCCAATTCCTCCTGATCTTTGCGTCTCCACTTCCTCAAATATGGTATACGTATAACCTCTTCCCTCTTCCCTCTTCAGTTCAAAAGGAACAGAAAAATCGTGAATATCAGTTGACTTCGTTTCCAAGGATCCTGCAACCATTGTACTGCATTGTGGCAAAGAAGTCGAATGTTCCTGGCAATCCACAACAGATAATTGAGCGCATCGTGAAGTCTCTCGTCCACGGTGGACGTGGAGGCGACCAATTTTGTCTCAACTGTATCTGTTCTTGACTGGGACCGAGATGGAATAGCAGCGCTTCAATTCTTTGAGCCACCATCGTGGTTAAAAGCCCGAATCTCTCAAGCATAGCAAATGACTTCGTCCTCATTAGTTTTAGGGGGTGACAAGCTGAAATCTGTGCTGCGTTGGAAGGAAGATCGACTGGCAAGGAGAAGTTTGAACATTGGTCAGCATCTTAGAGACTGTTTGATAATCTCGTTGATCCTAAGATGTCATGGCTTTTGTCCCTGATTATTTTAGCACTTTATCAGGCATCAAAAATTCTTTGTGGCTACTTATGAATTTGAAATTTGAAGCTTGAAAGACACTTGAACCTCAGTAAAAGCCCCATCCCACATGATCTTTCGATTTTTCTGAATTTTTGAGACCTTCATCTCATCTCTTAGAAAATGAGAAGAGTTTGATAGCCTCAATTTTCATGAGATTGTAAGAAGTATCATCTGGTATACTGTGCTTTCCATGTGAACGAGAAAAATTCACTTTTCCTATGTACCACGCTTGTTGACAATTTTTCTCTCGAGAATGACTAGTTTTATTTACAGTTGTTATTGATTTGTCCACGCTAAGACCATGTCCTCCGAGCCGTATCTTTACAGATTCCAATCATATTTTTTCAAAGTGAGATTGTCAATTTCCAACCACAAACAACAACCTCTTAAGTTGGATCGTGGACAATTATTTGCAAGCACAACCACTTTAAAAGCGACATTTAACAACAAAATTCGCTTTCATTGCTCATAATGAAAGATCTTCGCCAAGTTCCCGAATTCGGAAGATCTGTCCTTCCAACGAAATCAGATAGTTCTCGTTACTATCGTCACAATTCACATACCAGTCAGGGCACAAAAGAAACGCGTGCACTGTCTTCCATCCCATGTTATAAGCCACACAGAAGCAACTCTTCGAGAATTTCTTCTAGCAATAACTTTGCCGAGAACAAAGATCACCCGAGGAAGCGTCTTTCGAGAGCAGAAGCCAAGATCAAAGAACTTAAGAATTTTGGTCCAAATCTAGTTGCTCTTGAGGGAAGAGCACAAAAGCTTTTCATAGATCAGGCCAATCTTAACTTCAATCTTTTGAGTCGTCTTGAGATGCCACTGACATCGTCGTCTCCACAGGGACGACCTTCAAGACTGGGACCTCTTCAACACCCATATACACATCTCCAAAATCCATCTAATTCTGGTCAATCTTTTGTTACTCACGCTTTTCAGTTCAACTCTGAGAATGTGGAGATGAATGATGCGCCAGACATTCAAGAGTCAATAATGGTTTCAGTAGAATCTGAAAGTCAGAACAGAGGTGAAGTGCCATCTCCCCGTCCACTTATCAGACCCTCTCAAGCCGCAGCATCGATTCGAATCACTCCAAAGTCAAGTCAATCAATGACTCCAAGTAGGATATTCGAAAGCCCACGGCATACCGCTCTCCAAACCACCACCACAAACATCCACGATCAAATCGAGCTTGAGTTTTCCCACTTAATGTTAGCAAAGCATAACGAACTACGACTCATCGAAACTGAACTAGCCAAAGCACAAATAATGCTTGAGCAGCTTCGACGTTGTCATTTGAGGCCGTTCAATCTTGTCAAAAATGAGGAGGGTCAGGTTTATGCAGTCAGGGTTGTGGTGAGGCCATTTAGTGGAGAGGAGAGAAGGCAGAAAGCAATTACAAAGAGACAAAGGGAAGAAGAGAAGGCTGCGGAAGAACTAAAGGTAGAGGAAATGAAGAAAGGGGGAAGTGGTATGGGGTTGAGGAATAGATATGTGAAAAGGTGAGGGGGGAAGAGAGTGTGGATAGAAAAGGGAACCGATGGGGCTGGTAGGCTCGAAATGACTCCGAAGTGGAGATAAATGATCGGCGAGTACATTGGCGTTGAATAGCGAACCTATATTAAGCCTGTTATAATTCAGAATGTACTAGGTATGGAACAATGATTGTCCAATACTCTCTAATATTGTCCAAAGTATTAGTGAAGTCTGAAGTGATGCCAGCCAATCTCTCCACCGGAAGGACAGAGAGATTAAGATATAATGCAAGGGACAAGAGGCCTAGAGTGACAATCTTCATTCTTTTTATTGAATACAGCATCCGTCATCTAAGGCGAAAATAGCCCATCTGATGCTAATAAGTCAATCTCCAATAAACGTTATTAGAAGACATCACTCAATGCTCCTAAGATCTTCAGGAAATTGAGCAACTAGACTGAATGATCAATCAAGACATCAAGTATCACTGGATACTTGATATTATTACCGTCAATCTATACAAGGCCAGGTGGCTAGTATCTAATCATCTCCCGTTTCAAAAAGTCGACTATGATTGTTGTGGCGCGCGTCGACGTCAAGGACGTGTTGATTACATAAGCATAATCTGGGGAAACCCTGTTTCCCCCTTTTGTTTATACTTTCAGGATGACGTAAATGGTAGGTACATTTCACATGTCCGAGAGTTCCCCTCAGTTCTCATGTTCCACACTGAATACAATAAATTTATGACTTTACAAATATAATAATTTTCCGCGATAGCAACGATCATATCAGAAAGACTGCAAGGTACAAAGTACCTTGGTCAGAAAGGACAGCCATGGCAAACGTTTACAACAGTCAGCTTGTATTGTACCCTCCCTTTTTCTCGTCTATCTCTCATCACACAGAGCTTCCATTACTCCGAGTTGCAGATCAACAGTCAAAAACTTGCCATTCTTGACTTTAAGAGGACAAATGAGACGATTTGAGAGACTGTATTTACTTTGAATGTTATACTACGTTCAAACGTTGATAGCTCCAGTCTGGCAGTCCGACATATCGGGGTTTTTGTTTAACTGCCAATACTAACAATTTAATAGGATGCATTCACACAATATCATCAATATCAGGATTCTTCATCATCCTCCGCGACCTCAACAGCTCTTCCAGCACTCGGCCATGCCATAAGCGGCGCGACTGGGACCGCCATCTCAAACCTCTGCATCTATCCCCTTGACCTCATCATAACACGTCTTCAAGTGCAAAGAACTCTCGCAAATTCCTCCTCTCCTACCTCAAAACAGCCACAGAAATATACATCAGTCGCCGACGCCTTTGATAAGATTTACAATGAAGAAGGAGGGATCACCGGATTTTACAGTGGAGTCTTACAAGACACATCCAAATCCATTGCAGATTCATTCCTATTTTTCCTCTTTTATGGATACATTCGTTCAAAAAGATTACAATCTCATCACTCACCCTCCAAAGCTACTCTTCCAGCACTCGAAGAATTGGGCGTCGGCGCATTAGCTGGCGGGCTATCAAAGGTTTTCACCACACCATTGTCAAACATTGTCGTGCGAAAGCAAACTCATTCGATGACTGCTTCCACTGGCTCAAAATCTCCAACAATCTCTTCAATCATATCGGACATAAGAGAGAAAAAAGGCATTACTGGTCTCTGGTCTGGTTATAGTGCATCTTTAATCCTTACTCTCAATCCGAGTATCACATTCTTTCTCTATGAGTTTCTCAAACGTGTTATTATCCCGAGAGATAAACGCGATGATCCAGGGGCACGAATTACATTTTTATTGGCGGCGGTTAGTAAGGCGATTGCAAGTAGCATTACATATCCCGTGAGTCTAGCTAAGGCTCGAGCACAAGTCGACGGATCTTCTTCTCCAGTTAAGAAAGAAACTGTTGAGAAGCTCTCAGACAATGTGAAAGATGCAACGAAGAATGGATCCAAGAAATTTGCCCAAGAAGCACAGAAACATTTCAAAGATGTTTCCAAGCAAGCAAGAAAAAACACAATCATTCATTCCATACTCAAGATCTACAAGGAAGAAGGTATAGGAGGACTGTACGAGGGCATCGGAGGAGAGATTATCAAAGGGTTTCTAGGCCATGGATTAACAATTATTGTGAAAGATCGTGTACATGAACTCATTCTCTCACTTTATTTCATGGTTCTACGATTTTTGAAACGCAGTCCCTCGCCAAAAGCAATTATCAATGATGCGAGAGAAAAGGTCAGGGAGGGAGGTGAGAATGCCTTACACAGTCTCAAAACAGTGGGCGAGAATACGCTTCAATCTGCTAGTGAGAATGGTTCGAGTCTCGCATCTACAGCCCAAAATTCCACTAACACTATCACACAATCCGCAAAGGACGTCTCGAATAAAGTATTCAATGGTGCTAAAAATCTCGGGGAAAAGACGAATGATAGTGTCCCAACAGCAAAGGAAGCAGGCGACAGAGCAGCTGCCATGGGAAACAATGTTACAGAAAAGACAATATCGACTACCGAATACGCGAACAAGGAAGCAGGTCATTTGCTTGGAAATGCAGGTGAGCAATTAGGTGAGAAAATTGAGGGATTGGGAGGAGAAATCAAGAGAGTAGGAAATGCAGGGAATGGTGGACAGGAATAGGATCTCGTCCCGGCTCTGAATTTTGGTCTGATTTGATACAATTTGATACAAGTTTATTTGGGATTGCATAATATGTTAGGGAATGGACTTTAAGGGGAACAAGCGGGCGGGGAAATATTGATACGAAATATGATAACATACGCACACACAGCAGGATCACTAGCATGAAAATTGGTTGTATAATAGTTTTTTAGTACATTAATCTAGTAAAGGCATTTTTTTTCAATGATAATCCAAATATTGTATATTATTAGTGTTTGGTGATGTTCAAAGGTTTCTGATGGATAAAGGACCAGGAAGCAGTGCATGCGTCGTAGCAACGAAGAGTGGATGTGCCTCTTGAGTGATAGTTTCTATTGTTCAGGTCGACCGGTGACATTCAAATGTACTACAAATTTCCAAAAAGACTGAGCAACAGCAAATGTTCTACTAGACAAGGAGACGAGACTTGTGAAATGAATGCCTATGGATGAATAAAAAGTTGGAAGCGGGATATAACGTAAGCTCAAAGCCCGTCGATATTGGAAACTATGTGTAATTGCTACTTAGCCATCCGGCGTTGTAGTCTTCCAGGCATCTCCTCGTGTAACTATGGCCATATTGTAACATTTCATCTCATCTCATACAATGCAACTATATCCCCACCCTTGACACCAACAAGCTCTCATGCAATTATCCCCAAATCCACAAGCGCCTTTGAGGCTTCTGTTTTATAAGCACGACAAAGCAACCGACATTTCACCTCAAACCTCTTCGTCCCGTGATTCAATACTCAAAATCATCGTCAACACTTGGGCCCTTACTCTTCGTAACACTCTCCTGTTTCCTGTACATCTCCGCCACCTGTCTACTACTCGTGGCCATATCCGGTTTCTTATCATCTCTAATCTTGATAAATCTCGGAAATCTCAATGAAATACCCTTTTCTCCCCCTTTGTCAACACCCTCCTTACAGCCTGCCTTATATCTCGGACTCAATGTCAAATCAGCCGTCTTGACTTCCCAGACATATTTTGGCTCAAACCAAACATCAGGTTGATGTTGATTTCCCGAGGAATGGGAGTAGAATGGCTTAGGACGGTCGATGACTATAGCAGAGAGTTGGGCGTGGAGTTCTTCGAGAACTTGTTCGCTAAAGCCAGTGCCGATGTTGCAGATAGTTTCGTAGGTGTCAGTTTGGGGGTTGTGACAGGCGAGCAAGAAGGCGCCGTAGACGGAGGTACGTTTTCCACGACCATAGTAGGCTCCTAGAACGACGAGATCGAGAGAGTCACCGATGCCTGAGAGATAATCCTTTTTGATCTGAGGCGAACATTAGTATGATTGAGGAAATAAATTGGGATGAGAGTACATACCTTAAGCCAATTCCTACTTCGCTTACTGGGCTCATAACCACTTTCCGTACCATCCAACATCTTTACCATCAACCCTTCGCACGATGCCTTGACACTATCATCTAAGAATGTTTGAATCTCGTCAATTTCTTGACCATCCATACTAGTAGCAAATTGAAATTCGCCTTCGACAGGTTGGAAAGCTTCATGAAGAAGTGCACGACGTTCTCGTAATGATTTCTCAACAACAGCTTCACCATTCAAGAAAAGCAGATCGAATGCGAATACACAAACTTTGACTTTAACATCTTCGACCTTGACATCCTTCTTCTTTCGTGTCATGAGTTGTTGGAAAGGCAAGACTTTCTTTTCAACCATATCCCAAGCAACGGTTTCGCAATCAAGTACAAAGCTCTTGGTATCGTCCTTAACCCATGTGTTCAGTTTGCCAAGGATATCTGGGTATTTCTTGGACAAATCTTCTGAGTTTCGCGAGAATATAGCAGCGAGACCTCCAGCAGATGGTTTAGCAGCAGCGGGCGTGGCGCCAAGATATTGCTTGGGAGAATCCTTAGAAACGTAATGTATCTGAGCTCTTTCTCCATCATATTTATACTCGCAAGTGAAAGTTTGACTTTCAAATCGATCCAAGACTTCTGTGATTGCTTTTGTTGGTTTGGCCAACATAGGCTTCAACGGTACACCAGGTTGGAGTTTGCAATTGTCTTTCAGATTAAAGATGCCGTGCTCCAACATTGCTGGAATAATCACATCATAACTAGGAAGGGAGCTATCTTTGATTAATAGTCACTCAAGATCTGGGGTAACATAACATACCTGTGAACTGCTTTCAATATTGACTCTCCCTTTGCCATCTGTTCTGTGCTTGGAACCTTTCCGGAACCTTTCGCTTCAATTTCATGACATACCATTGCTTGAGCCAAAGAAACGAGAACAGTCTTTTCTGCCAATCCGAGGCGAAGCTTACCCTCTAGGAAACGAACAATGTATTTTGCTTCGCTTGCTCCACCCTTGTCTTTTGTAATGTCAACTTTGCCCGACGAATGCGCGTCAGCTGCGGAAAGCAACTTCTTGATTCCGTCAACTTTTCGTCCCTGAGCACCGTTGCCTTGCATTGTAGCAATGTCGATCAAACTCTTCAGAACGCCTCTAATTGTCAATGGCTTTGGCTTGAACATTACAGGCTGGTTTGATCGACTCTTGACTGCTACAAGTCCAAGATCACCAATCTCTTTCTGATCATTCTTGATGACGCTCAGATTTCGTCCAGTAGACTCCCCAATGGCCTTCATGATCAATGATTCACCAATACCCAACTCAATTCCAGCATAATCTGCAGCCAATTTGTTGATCATGAGAAGAATCGTAGGCAAAAGATCATCTGGAGTGAGTCGAAGGACTTGACGAATGAACAAGGAACAATGAGCCGCAATAACTAATCGCTTGGTGGTCATCTCTACCAAAGAAAATGTTGTACAAAGAGCTGCATAAGGTACTGGCTCTCCTGGTCTCCAATCCGGATATGGGTCCTTACCCTTAGATTTCAAGGTTGTTTGTATCCTCTCCCTAGCTTTAGCAGCTACTTCTGGTTTCTCATCTCCACTAGATTCTAAATCGTCCTCGATTTCGGATTCTGATGCCGATTTTGATACATTCGAGTCTCGGCGCTTTGCTGGTTTTGGTGACGGTGCTGCTGCTTCCACTTCGTCTTCATCCTCCTCTACCACTTTGGCGTTCTTACCACGCTTTGGTGGCGGTGACATGTTCTTCGAAGAGGCTTTTTTCGTTGATGAATCTGGCTCAGGTTGGGTCTTGAATTTTGTGCTAGCGGGTTTTGGCGAGGGCTTCTTCTCTCTTGCTTCGGCCTTTTGAGCTCTTCGAGGCTTCTTCACAATAGGCTCTTCATCTTCATCCTCTTCCTCTTCTTCCTCCTTGACTTCATCCTCAATTTTTATAGCTTTGGTCTTGGCTGAGAGTTTCGGACTGGCGGATCTTGATCTCTTCACACCTGTATTTGCAGAACTAATTAGCCTCTTAGAGGAAGTGCGCCACTACCCTGCCTAGACCTACCTTTCTCTACCTTTACATCTTCCTTTTTTACTTTTCCCTTGACATCAGATCCCTCTTCCTTCTTGATCAAATCTTCATTTCCTACATCGGAATCCCCATCCTTCATCTCAACATCCTTGTTCTCTTCTGATGCTTCCGAGGCGGATGACGAGCTTGGTGGCGGCTTGCTTGCGCTTGACTTGGAAGAGAAAGATAGCTTCGATTGTTTTGGAGGCGCGCCTTTTGGTTGGCCAAAGAACTTGCTACAATTGAATAGCCATTAGCATCATCGCATCTGCATACTAGACAGGAACGAACCCCAACGTAGTTTGTGAATCTTTAACATACCCCAATGTCGCCTGCTTTGGAGGCATTGCGCAAAACGTTCGGATTGATAGGAACGTATGGAAGTTGCCCACTACAGGAATAAGAAGCTTGCGTGAAGCCACAATGGCGGGTTATGCAGCAGGGGAATTGAGTTATCTTGACCAATTACGCTCAAGTATTGACAATCTCTGTAGCGTCGACTTTATTTGAAAGAGTATGAAATTAGTTGTAAATTATACTTAGTATGATGTTAAAGAATTGAATCAATTCTGTTATTGTCATTTTCAGGTCTTTCGTCCAAACATTAAGACTTTTCCATTGACATAGTTAGATAGATAGATACCTAGATAGCATAGAAATAAATTCTACCTGGTAGGCACCAGTCGCGTCATTGAAAATCAAACTACGCGTTCCCACCAGGTAGTTAAGCTTTACCGCGTAAATTGGTTCCTGATCACATCGGTCGGTCGGTCGGTCAGTTCCGTTAGCTTCCGTTCACTAATAAAAATCGGCTCTTCAAGCGGCCGACTCGAGTATTGATATCACAAGCACCTACGAGAGGATATGTAGTGAGAGTACAGAAGGAATGTGTAAAACGACTCATACTTTGGAATTCGATCATACTATCGACGATGGATTGAATGGAGACTAGAACTTCTCATAGATTAGATGAGTGCACAATGAAGCGCTTCTCACCTGTTTCAATTGAAAATAATGATTGATCAATTTGATGAAGAATTTTAAAAACAGAGTGTTTTTGTTTTATGATGTGCGGTGTGACCCTCACCTTAATCTCTTATCAGTTCCCCTTCTGACTCACCAATTGGATTGTTTTGATGACTCCAATAATTATTTAGAAGCATAAATTCCCCCACCAAATAATAAGTTCCCCTCCTCTGAACTTTCAAAACAATTTTGAACACTCAAACGCGATAACCATGGCTACACTCCAAGAACTCGCAGATAGAACTCTGAAGACGGATACAATCTATATCGATACCGATGTTGGTCAAGATGATCAATCAGCCACTGGTGCCGAAAGCAAACCATACAAGTCTTTAGCATACGCCTATATTCAACACGGTGGTAGCGAGGGAGGAAAATACCAATCAAGAGCCTCAACAACTGGTGCCGTGAGCGCAGATGGTGATCCAGCAGAGCGATTGGTATGGAAAGATCCAGCTAAGGCTGCCATTAAGAAGGCACAAAATGCCTTGGATGCACACAAGAAGAAGCTTGTGAAGCAACAACAGATGGCTGCCGCAGAGAAGGAGAAAGATGATGCAAGACTCAAGACACTCGAAGACTCGAAAAAGATTGTCCTTACCGAAGACTCCTCATTACCACCAGCAGTCAAGATCAAGATTATGCGCAAAGATATTGAATTGGGCGAGGGCGAAAAAAAGGGTACCCGTGTTAAGGTTTCGGGTCGCATTCACAGATTGAGAGAACAAAAGCAAGCCACTTTCATCACATTGGTGGATGGATATGGCCATTTACAATGTATCTTGCAAGGGGATCTTACCAAGACATACGATGCTCTCACTTTTGCACAAGGTACTTCTCTTACTCTCTACGGAGAGATGCGAAAGGTCATGGCTGGTCAATCGGCTCCAGATGACCGAGAATTGATTGTCGATTACTACAAAGTCATTGGCAGATCCCCATCCGACGCCGATGCTATCACCAACAAGATCTCTCATCAACAAGATCAATGGGAGTCCTCTATGTTGGACAACCGTCACCTTGTCCTCCGTGGAGATACCGCTTCTTCAGTTATGAAGGTTCGTTCTGCAGTCGAATGGGCTTTCGCAAAGGCATACAAGGAGATGTACTTCACCAAGATTAGTCCACCTGCTTTCGTCCAAACACAAGTTGAGGGTGGTTCTACTCTGTTTGAATTGGATTACTATGGAGAGAAGACATATCTTACTCAATCATCTCAACTTTACCTCGAAACTGGTATTCCAAGTCTCGGCAACGTTTACTGTATCGAAAAATCTTTCCGTGCAGAGAAATCCCTGACTCGTCGTCATTTGTCCGAATATACCCACGTTGAAGCTGAATTGGATTTCATTGATTTTGATGATCTTCTAGATCACTTGGAGGAGATGATCAGCAGCGTCATTAGTACCATTATGGCCGACCCAGAGATCGCCGGTTATATCAAGGAACTCAACCCAGAATTCCAAGCTCCAGCCCGTCCATTCAAGCGCATGCGCTACTCGGATGCCATTGACTGGCTCAACGCCCAAGATCCCCCTATTCTCAACGAAGAGGGCAACCCACATGTCTTCGGTGATGATATTGCTGAGGCTGCCGAGAGAAAGATGACGGATATCATTAACTTGCCCATCCTTCTCACACATTTCCCAGTCGAAATCAAAGCCTTCTACATGAAGAAAGATCCTCAAGATCCAAGAGTTACAGAGAGTGTGGATGTTTTGATGCCAGGTGTTGGTGAGATTGTTGGTGGTAGTATGAGAATGGAAGGTTATGAAGAATTGATGGCTGCATATGAACGTGAGGGCATTAGTCCTAAGGAGTACTACTGGTACACTGAACAGAGAAAGTACGTTATCTCCCTTATTTCTACCTCTGCAATCGCACCTAACCTCTGATTGTGTTTCTTTAAACTATGTATGCACAAATTAACTAACAGTAAACAGGTATGGTACATCTCCTCACGGTGGTTACGGATTAGGTCTTGAGAGATTCATCGCTTGGATCTGTAAACAACATTCAGTCCGTACATGCTGTTTGTACCCAAGATTTATGGGACGCTGCAAGCCTTAGAGAAATGGACTGTGGTTGATTGGGAGAATTAAGTTGAAGGGAAAAGTTGTGACGAATGTATGCTATTGATAGCAGAGGTAGCAGGTTTGCGTTTGAGTAAAGCGTTCAATGAATGAATGATAGACCATCTGATTTTTGATCCAGTTTTGATTATATGTGTATATTGCGAATCCGAATATTTGAGTAGAGTTGTGATTGGAACGTTAGAACTTTGATGTTTGACTTCTCAAAAACACCATGAGAGCTCGCTAGACTTTCACTGTTGGAGGAAATCATATATACCGGCTGTTCAATTCCCACATTCTAAAATTTTCGATGAAGAGATACTGCTAGAGATGTCAATGCAATGTGAATTGGGAAGGCGTGAGTAAGCGAAGCGAAAGGAGGTGAGAGGGAGGGGTGAGGACATGAGAAACAAGGATTTTAAATGTATGGAGGAAGTTTGATATTTTGACCTTCAAGCTTCATTTATGTATATAGGATAGGAAAAACAGAAAGGCTATTTGATATTATAATTATCTATTCAGGTACTAGATGTATAGACGGAAAATTCTTGATTTCGTACATCTCAACTCTGGAAGTTTCTTGATAGGCTGCCCGCGCGAGATTCCATACGCAGACAATTCTAAGATTCCTGTATATTCACATCCTAATTACAGTTTTGGAGATTATAAATGCGTACCTATTAATAGCCATGCTGAGCCATGTTTCCAATTTACATGGCAATATCTTCCGTGTTAATTACCTAGTAGTCGGTCGTACTTGGTTATATTAGTTGGTGGCGAGTGGACAATCATTAAGCTATACTGTACTATGCTACACTATATACACTACAGGTACACTCACGAGTCACGGGAAATTGTTTCACGAACACGCCACGAGAGCTTGGACCTAGGGGCTCGGATGATGTTCCTTACTTGGTGCTGGAAGTAGGGGAAATCCTTGGGATGCGTGGTTGGTGAAATGGCGATGGGTGGTTGGAGGTTGGAGGTGGTGTAATGTTCTGGAAGGATGGGTGGAAGGATGGGGATGGAGGATTGAAGTATTGAGGGAGAAGAGGTGTAATGGGAATGGAAGAGAGATGGAGGTTGTGGGTAGCTGAAGGTACTGTGTACTACCTGTACGTGGGAGAAAAGACAGGCCGGAATTGATCACTGGCAAAGCCCTTCAACAATCCAATTGTTCCATTCCATTCCAATTCAGAGAATTAAATGTTTAAATGATTTTATAATTGAAGATTATTTATGGATTTATTGTTTATTGTTTAATGTTATCTAATTTTATAATCTTATTATTGATTGATTTATTACAGAATTTATTGGGGTGATTAGTTTTGGACTATTTTTTCTCCTATGTACTCCATAGAGACTACTACGGATGGAGATGCATGGGAGCTTGAGAAGGAAATGCTACTTTTGATGGTGATTAAATGTGGTTAGTTTTCATGTAGGTTGTAATTTGTCGAAACGGTCGCGTTGAGATGTAAGGGATGTTTTAAAAACTGTTGAAAACCGTCGCCTTTGAGAATATCCATCGATACAGACAGAGTACAACCATTGTTAACGTAGCAGCAAAGTATACGCAGCACGAGCATCTTTACATCTCAAGAATAAATGACAAACCGGTGTGACATATCGTAATGTGCTACTTTACGAAGTACATCCATACGGATTACAGTTGTGCATAGCTACCTAGGAATATTCAGGGCTGCATCTCGAGACTTGGGGTCCGTTGTCGATACTACATAGATATGTACGTCGCCTGCAAGTACTTAGCCATCCTGGATGTCGAGGTATCCATCCGTATTATCTCAGCAATATTCTGGAGATTAAATCTGCGCATCTGAATGTTCCGGCGCCTAAGTGCATCGTTTGTTCGTATTGTATGGGAAGAGGCAGGAGGTGCTAGAAGGGAGAGGTGGGGCCGAGAGTTGAATGAATGATGAATGATATCTGTTCTTTGAGGGTTGAGGCACTTTTGTTGGGATGATTAATGAATTTATAAAGAGTGAAGCGATCCAATATCATTGAATTTACATAGCTGATTGGATAAGCATGGGACGAGATACGGTACTTTAAGAATCGGAATCAAAGAATTGGATCGTTGGGTGAATGGAGACATCGATCACTTCGGAGAATATAATTCTTTTGTGCTCGCATGATCTCTGGAGCATACCTACTCTCAACTCAAAGCACAAGGGCTGGAAAAGTCGGTGGGTTGCCCAAAAGTCATGGAAAGTTTTGTGCCCATC